ACGACTTGGACTTGACTTGAACTCATGAGCCAGTGACTCAAGACTCGACTTGGATTTGTCTGTATTTGACTTGGGACTTGACTCGGACTTCAGTAACTTGGGATTTGACTAGGACTTGAGGCCTGTGACTTGAAGAACTTTTAAATCTGAATTCTTTCTATTCTGAGCATAATGATTCACACTAAGATCTTGTCAAGACATTAAAAAAGGAAAAAATTGCGTTTCTACAACTTTTATAAACTTTATAAATACTCATATAAAGTCAAAGTATATTTATATAAGTACAATTTAGTTTAAAATGAATATAAATTGTAAAAATCTAAGCTATATTTTACTTAGGTTATACTTTGGTTTAAAGGTTTGAAATGACTTGAAGCTCAAAGCAGACGACTTGGACTCGACTTGACCTTCAAGTCCAAGTCAAGTCTCAAGTCACTGGCCCAAAAGTCCATTGACTTGGGACTTGACTTGGACTTGAGGTCAGTGATTTGAGAAGCACCTTTAAATGTGAATTCTTTCTATTTTGGCTGTAATAATTCGCTCTAAGTTCTTGTCAAAACATTTAAAAATGTAAACTCTCTAAATACTCATATAAAGTCAAAGTATATTTATATAAGTACAGATTATTTAAAAATTCATAGAAATTGAGAAAATCTAAGGTATATTTGGTACTATATTTAGACTTGAAATGACTTGAAGCTCAAAGCAGACGACTTGGACTTGACTTGGACTTATGGGCCAGTGACTCGAGACTCCACTTGGACTTGTCTGTATTTGACTTGGGACTTGACTCGGACTTGAGGTCAGTGACTTGAGAAGACTTGAGAAGCACTTTTAAATCAGAATTCTTTATATTTTGACTGGAATCTAAGACTCTAAGATCTTGTCAAGACATTTAAAAAGAGAAAAAAATGTGTTTCTACAAGTCAACAGTTACAAACTTTATAAATACTCATATACAGTCATCGTATATATTTATGTAAGTACAATTTAGTTTAACATTCAAATAAATTGCAAAAATCTGAGCTATATTTGGTACTTTTTTGGTTTAAAGATTTGAAATGACTTGAAACTCAAAGACTTGGATTTGACTTGGACTTATGGGCCAGTGACTTGAGACTGGACTTGGACTTGTCTGTATTTGACTTGAGACTTGACTCGGACTTGAGGTCAAAGACTTGAGATTTGCAAAACGATGACTTGGTCCCACCTCTGTTTAATACTAAGGAAAAGACTCGATGCCCGATTCTGATAATAATAAAAAACTCTTATCGATGAGTATTTTATTTCCGATACTTTTGACAATAATTCAGCGTAAGTGTTCTGATAAACGGGTTAAAGGCATGTGCGGTCATTTAGTGTGTGGGCGTCTGATAAAGAAAGCATTTGTCACAGTCAGTGGAAAAGGCTGAGACAGGACCCCAGATAACCTTCTCGTACAAGAGGGCGAAGTTATCGTCAGGTAACCGTGGCAACATACAGCACAAGTACAGGTTTTACTGTATTATACAAAAGATACATTTAAAGTTGAGTCTTAATGAAATTCTTGCATGACTCTTTAGAAGATCTAGAAAACAAGAAACTGATTTGTGAGCTTTTATCCATGTTAGAATGTTGTTACCTCCTCAAAAACAAACCCGGAGTTGTGTTTTTTCTGTCTACATCTCCAAATCTCAAAATGCTCTGTTCCACCTTGTGACATCATGTAGTGGTAGTTGTCATTTTAACAGCTACATTTGACTTTTAATTCAGTAGCGATCGGCAATTCCAGAGCTGAAATTGTCCAAATGACTCTAGTGAAGGTGTTTGGAGTTTGAAAACGCAGTGGAGCACTTCCTGTAATGACATGACATCACAAAGTAGAACAGAGTGTTTTCAGTTTGAGAGAAAAACTCAGCCTAAATGTGCAGGATGTGTGTGGTAAACATGTGTGAATGAGACAAAACACAACTCCAGGTCTGTGTGTGATGAGGAAACAACATTCTAACATAGATCAGAAAATATTTAAGAGTGAAAAATAATTCATATAATATTTATCATGAGTTTCAAAATATGTCAAATATGTGTAAAGTGTTAATGTAAAACTGCATATAATCCAGTTAAGTTCAGTGTCTGTGCTGAGTCTGAGAACTTTATAATAATAAAAGAGGATATGATTCAAAGTCTCACTGCACTAACCCACATCCTGCACACAACAGGAACAGAAAACTATTAGTTATCATACACACAGGCTTCACACACACACGAGTTATTCAGGGACACAATAAAACACAGCTATATACAATATGTTGAATTCACCGCAGTTTAGTAGTAGTTCTCCAATTTTGACTTTCGTTGGAATAAACCTGTTGTAAATATAAATTATAGTTTTACATCATAAAAGCAAAAAAATTCCAAAGAAAAGTTGAGAAATATGTTGAAAATTGCAGGACGTGGATGGTTCTATTTTAGAGGATTCTGAATGCTATTCAAAAGTTCAGCACAATTACATAAAAAACACAGTTTTTTGATACTTTCAATATTATTTCTACAAAATAAAGGCATTTTCTTATACTTTTTATTTGTGAAACATTAATTTCTATGTAAATTAGAGGAGGTTTGGTTCACTTGCAACATGGTTTCAAGATAAGTTATGGAATTTCCTCGTGCGATGTCATGATTTCCTAGCCAGGCTGAATGTCATTTCTCTCCAGCGACTAGATCAGGAATCAGAATACAATAGACGGTTCACAAAAACCCCGGAAGTGCGGGTTCAGGCTCCAGCCAATCAGCGAAGAGACAGACATTCGGCACAGTGACTGAGTGGCTAGCAGGTTCTGGGTTCGATCCCCGGGTCACCTGGGCCTTTCTGTGTGGAGTTTGCATGTTTCTCCCAGTGTCTGGATGGTTTCCTCCAGGCGCTCCAGTTTCCCCCATCAACCCAAAACATGCTCCAGGTCTCCAGAACAGTTGATAGTCAAGGTCAGTTAAATACAGTCAATTCAATCATTGTGTCCTTAGGCAAGACACTTCACCCACATTGTCTAGTATGAAAGTGGTGTGTGCGTGAGTGATGGTGGTGGTCAGAGGGACCGATGGCACCGATTGGCATGGCAGCCGCACTTCTGTCAGTGTGCCCCAGGGCAGCTGTGGCTACAATAGTAGTTTACCATCACCAGGTCTAGAGTGAATAAATATGCTCTGTAAAGCGTCTTTGGGGACAGAAAATGTCTGTGAAAAGTGCTATATAAATAAAGACTTACTTACTTACATTCAGTGTTGGCAAGATTCCCGAGATCGAGGATTTGAAGCTGGAATAAAGAGAATGTTTGGTGAATTTTATCAAGGGGAAAGACATTATTGTCCTTCTTCCTACGGGATTTGGGAAAATCTTAATATACCAGTTAGCCCTGTTAGTGGGGCATTACATACATCACAACCAAATAGCAACGACTGGTTAAATTTGAAAAAGTACCTGCCTCCTGTTGAACGAACGAATCCTAACACTGCAAGGTCAGACGGTTTCTATGAAGTGAAACCGGCTGATGAATCAGGCTACTGATTTCCAACCAAAAAGTAAAATATAAAACCTAAAAAATGGCCAAACTGAGGAAAAAAATAACTTTTTTAAATTTTAAGATCACAATATTTAAGATTTTATTTGTGTTTTAGCCACTTGTAAGCACTTTAAGATGCACTATGCAACTTTACTGTCTCCAAGATGCTGGAATGTTGCACAATATGGCATCTGACTATCTCCATGGAGACCAGCAGGCAGCAGCACCAGGCCAAGTTACAGGTCAGATCTGTGGAGAGGTGACTTCACTCACAGCCAGAAAGCATGTTTACTTTTTAGCCTTCAAAACACCTATGATTGAATCAATAGAAACTAGACAGGTTTAATGCCATGCTGTGGAACATTCCAGACAAAACAACATCTCAGTGGAGTCGAGATGGTGGCAGAAATGTTCATATTATTGTTGGCAGATGATCTTTTCAAAGAGCAGTGAAATTAAAGGGAATGTCCAGAGCTGTCAGTTTCAGTCACATGACACTTTCCTCCATCAGATTCCTTTTTTTTTAAAGACATTTTTACCATTTAAAACAGATAGAACATTTAGTTTTGACTTGACAACAGTTCCTTATCTTTGTCTCTCTGTGCCCATGGATAACAAGACTGACGTTGGTTTCAATTCCACTTCCTGCCCTTAAGCAAGACACTTCTCTGTATGAATGCGCGGTGGGGGTGGTCAGAGGTTGTTATTTTTGTTCTCTATGTATGAGAAAAAGTCAAGTGAACAATAGTGTGTTAGTTTCACAATACGTAATCTACATTTATCACTTATGTATCCGTTTTAAATAGAACATGGCCTACAACTTTACTTCTTCCTGTGCGAGTATTATCAAAACTGTTACCTCCTCTTCCATTTGTGTTTCTAAAGCCCTTATATCTCCTTCTGCAAAATTAGTTTTACACATTTAAAGATGAATTTTCCATGACTTTACAGCACCTTCATGTGTAGAATTGGTCAGAATTGTAGGGCTAAATATGAAATGTTAATGTTTTCACTCATCTTATGGTTTGGGATTATAGTTTAACATTCAAAATCCTGTCAGTGCATTTATTGTCGTCTCTTTTCAACAAAAGGCGCAGACGTTCAGAAATAAGACTCATGAGAACTTAACAGAACACTGGAGTTGCATGAAAGACATACTAAAATTCCATGACTTTTCCAGGCCTTGCAAATGACATTTTCTATTTTCATGACTTTTCTAGGTTTTCCATGATCGTGGGAACCCTAAAGCTATTCAGGAAAGCTTCATTTCTATCCTTCGAAAGTAACTTCTTTAGTACTGATATTTCCTCAAATGAGTATCTAAATGTCTATACTACCATAGTTCAGTAGAATCGTATCATTTAGTATGTGACTTTCGATACTTTTGGCAGAGTTAGTCAACTTACATAAGACTAATGTGAGAAGAATACAGAATTTGACCTGGACTATTTTGGGGTTTAAAACAGTTTGAGTTTGTTTACATTTGAGTGAACAACTTTTTCCTCCACAGACTCGACTCATCTGGAGACACACACGTCCCTGAAACATGAGCCGGGTAAAACATGGGAACTCACAAACCACACTGGAACATTCTCATCCATAAAACTACATATAAAACCTTTATTTAAGCGACATCCAAATAAATAAAAACAGCTTAAACACACTTTAAAAGCTGCACTGCGCAACTTTTCTGGTGGAGGGTCTGCCACCTACCTGCTCGACTCCATGGAGATGTTATTGCTTTGTCTAGAATGTTCCACAGTATAGGCGAGTTTCAGATGACGTCATTATTAAAAGCCCGCGTTGCATGCTGGGAAATATTTTGGTCAGAGGCAAGAAACACGGTAGTGGTCAAACACAGTGCGTAACCTCGCGTATTTCTCCCCGATAATGGTAAATTCCTGCTGCATTATCAGATGCACAAATAGAAGCACGGAAGAAGGAAAATTTCTTTTTTTCGTATTCTGAGTGAAAAGAACCGCTAACAGTGAATTAAACGGCTTTCAAACATTCACAGAGCAAACGTAGAAGATCCTAACAAACCGTGGACTCCAACAAGTTCAACAACACATCGAGACTCTTGGAGGTTTTCATCTTTTCTGCTGTGAATGGCCCAGGAGTTTCCACCAAGTCATTGTGGATATCACCAAAGTGAATATTTGTCCAGGTAGTTGGTGATTCTGACCAGAAATGTGGTTTGGTCCACCTTTTGTCGGGGTTGAAAAGGGTGATTTGTCGTCCATCGATGCTTATGACCAATTTCTGGTCAAATGGTCTTGGGTCCTCTGCCGTTAGAGTGGAGAAATAACCGGGATCAATACCCTTTACGTGCTTTCTCGCTCCGTCCGTCATGTTGAATTAGTGTTTCTTGCCGCCGACCAAAATAATTCCCAGCATGCAACGTGCGCTTTTGTCAACAATGAAACTCGCCTATAGATTAAACCTGTCTGTCACGATGGAGATAAGCAGGTTACAGTTCAGATCTGTGGAGAGGCGAACCTATTCACAGAAAGAATGATTGTATTTATGAGCAATATAAACACTTGTAATGAATAAATGCTAGATGGAAATGTTTAAAGTCATGCCATGGAACATTCCAGACAAAGCAATAACATCTCCATGGAGACAAGCAGGTAGAGGACCCTCTGCCAGAAAAGTTACGCAATGCATGTTAAACTGAATAGGAACATACCAATCTGATATTGGATAATGGAGCAGACCTTGGAAAACTTACTGGATTGGTTCAGTCGATATTCTGGTTGGACATATGATCTAAATTGATAGAATAACATCTTTTACTTGCTGTAGTTGCCCCAGGAAGTCTCAATGTTTGAACTTTTATTTGTACAAAGCTTCTCTGTATTTATTTCAGAATAAATAACAGCTACATAACAAATTCTGGATCCGTTTTGTCTTATTTTAGTTTTTTCAAAGGTGCACTGTGTAAGTCACTTGCCATCACTCGCTTGTTTTTGTCTGGAATTTTCCACAGTAGGGCATTAAACTATCCATTTTGCTTTTACTGACTTAAAAACATACATTCTTAGTGGGAATGGGCTTGCCTCTCCACAGATCTGACCCTGTAACTTGGTCCTGCGGTGTCATTTGCTTGTTTGCTTAGTTTAGATAAATAAGTGTAATGCCATACTGTGAAACACTCCTCCTCCAGAAAAGCTACACAATGCACCTTTAATTAAATAATAAATGCTGTTTTCAGTCTCCACACTGGTATCGATATCGGCAGATGGTTAAAACTGTAATATTGAAATCGGCATCGAAACTGAAAAAGCTGGATCGCAAGACAGTAGTTTAAAGTCATGTTGTTTTGGGTTTGTCTCCCTCTTGTGGTGGGAGCAGGTCGGTGCGCTGAAGTTTGGCCAGTGGAATCAGAGCTCGAGAACAACACAATGCAATCGATTCTATCTTTGCGATGCTCCTGTTTAGTTTCTAGAAAGAACTAAAATCCACTATATGATTTCAGAATATAAAGGAGGTTACCCAAGATACGGATCGGTGCCTTTTATAATTGTATTTACGTGTTTCAAGCTATAAAAGTTGTAAATTCTGCTTTCACTGCCCAAATACTTTGTCATTTCTGTGTTTTAGAATCAACAGAGAATCCACGACTCCATGACTGTTCAGTGTGTGGTTCATGTCAAACAAAAATCTGAGTACTATAGGATTTCTGGATTTTTAAAGGTGCACTGTGTAACTTTTTGGTTGGGGTATGACATTAAACAGCTCTACCTTATATGTATTCAGTCATAGGTGGTTTTATAGCTAAAAAAAACAAACAAACAAACATTCTGACTGTGAGCGGGGTCGCCTCTCCACAAATGTGACCTGTAACTTGGTCTGGTTTGGTCTCCGTGAAGATAGAAAGGCTTAATACCATACTGTGAAACATTCCTGACAAATCAATAACATCTCCATGAAGAAAAGTGTTTGACGGACGCTCCACCAGAAAAGTTACACAATGCACCTTTAACATTTAAATGACGTGCAAACTGTAAAATCTGTCCGTCTGATTACTCACAACAATGTCAAAAAGAAATTTGATAATTTTCCTGAAATTATATCGCACTATTCCAAATTTCATATGAGCAAAATGATACAGCCCCATGTCACGGTTTTGAGGTTTATCACAGTTTTAGTCGCTTCATTTACAATTCAGAGGTAGAGCTGTGTGCTAAAGCAAAGAGATCCAAAAAAATCCACCTGTCACTCACATTATATAAGAAGAGGGAGTGGATGAGTCTGTGTTTAAGCTGCATTAAACACAAAAACACTGAGTCACCAAGAAACCATCACTCCAGTTTGGTCACAAATCGCTATAGATGCACCGCACTGCTGACGGGGAGGCCATACAGATTGATGTCAAAAAAACTGAACTATCCCTTTAAGCAACTGCAACTTCCACATATAAGTAAACCAGATCTAAAATGTGGATATTTGTCTTCAGTTACTCTGTATTTTCCAAAGATAGAATTTCTATAACTATAACTGCTGTTAATATCACGTTTTGGTACCCCACAGAGACTGGTCCTCCTGCATGGCCAAAGTCTGGTTCACAAATCTTAACATTCCAGTTAGTGTGCTCAAATTGTCCTCTTCGTCTTCGTCTTGAGGCACTAGGGTTCCACTGGACTCCCTCCTCCCCTCTCTCTCCTTCTCCTCCTCCTCCTCCTCCTCCTCTCTTTCCTCTCTCCCTTGCTTCTCATCCTCCTGCTTATCCACCATGTATGTCAGTGGATTGAAGGATTGGTCTGAGGTAGCCGTGATGTCCGCACCAGTCAAACCCTGCCAGCTCTGGTCCACCGTGTTCTCCGGAAATGGCAAGACGGAGGAACGCGAAGCCCACGAATGGTCCTTCAAAGCTTCCTTCAGTGCGGTTTTCACGTTCGGGGGAAGATCTAAGGAGGAGCTGGTGGTGCTGCTTTGTAACCAGTCGGAGACCTTTTGGTGTTTACTGGAGGTGGAGAGGTCAGCGGGTGGAGGCTGAAGAGGGAGTGAAGGTGAAGTATGAGGGGACAGGGGGAGAGAGGGCGGGGCCAAGGGGAGAGGGAGGTGATGGCGATCAGCAGCTCTTTCCAGACTCGAGATTTTACCCAAGAGACGGGTCATTTCAGACTCCTGCAGAGAGAAGAGACAAGTTGAAGTTAGGACTAGACATAAGAGAGGTTACAGTTCATCTGCAGTGGAATCTAAATTGCAAATTAGTAAATGGGGTGGTCAAAAGTATTGGTTAGTATCAGATTTTCTATACAAAAACTTGTAAAAAATGAAATACTCATTTGCACAGGTATCAATATTAAAAAAAGTCAGATTCACAGGACAGAAATGAACCTCTCCTGAATAGTTTTAGAATGATCCTGAGCTGTATCAGAACAAGTAGAAGAGCACATGGAGCACTATGGAACATACCTGGACCACTGAGGGATTACATACATATAAGACCACATGGAAATATAAAAGAAAGTAACATTTTAAAGAGTGATATTAGTACTATCATGACAAGTGTGAAGGAAATATTTTTGGTGGATCTAAAAATTTGAAAAAAAACCCAACATAATTTCGATACTAGTTTTAGAATAGATTAGTTGTCTTTTGTTGTTGTACCTTAATCAGCAGAGATTCCTGGGAGGATTCCACAGACGCGTGCGAGGCCTGGAGCTGCTGCTGGAGCTGCTGCTGGAGCTCTTCAGCCTGGACTCTGCTCAGCTCCGCCCGTGCTGAGAGCTGCTGTACCTGACTCTGCAGCTGAGCGCTCTGGGCCCTGGTTTGGTCGTACAGCCCTCGGACCTCCTGGAGCTCCACTCGACTCTGAAGCAGCTGGGACTGACTCTGCTCCAGCTGAGACTGCAGACACACGGACAGACTACGGGCCTGCTCCAGCTCCGCCTTGGTCTGGTCCACCTCTGCACGGCTCTGGTTTAGCTGAGCCCTGGTTTGGTCCAGTTCTGTCCTGGCCTGGTTCAGTTGGTCCTGACACAGCTGGAGCTTGGAGTTGAGCTGCTCGTGAGAGGACTTCATTGTGGAGGACATCTGCTCGGACACTTTGAGGAGCTGGCCTCTGGTCTGCTGCAAGGACTCCAGCTGAGGACAAACAGCATGGACTTTACTCTATGTTTATTGGGGTTTTACAAACAGAAAAACTATAAACAACGCAAATTAGTTCATAATTTTAGTGTGTGTGAACGTGTATGTGGGTGGGAGGGTGTATGTCTGTGGGCTGGTTGGGGCTCTGGTGGTTGTGACTTTTAATAGTCCATGTAAAGTACTTTATGTTACATATTGTCAGTGTTGGGGAGTAACAGATTACATGTACTGGAGTTATGTAATCAGAGTACAAATTATGAGTAACTGTATTCAGTTACAGTTACTGTTTCAGTGAGTGGTAATTGGATTACAGTTACTTTGTTGAAATAAATGGATTACACGGTGGTATTTTCCTGTTTTCACATTTTGGGCTATATCCCTTTTTTTTTTTTGTAATTCCACTCATTGCCGGACACTAAACCAGGACTAAACCAGGACTTAAACCAGGTCCAAACTGAGACTAAACCAGGTCTAAACCAGGACTAAAACAGGTCTAAAACAGGATTTTACAGGACTAAATCATGCTGTGTGGACCGTGTCTCCTCGTCTTCTATCAATAATATTTTTAATTTGGTTCAGTAAAGTTTGGGCTTTTTATTTTCTTTTAATCAGACAAAACATCTTATGTGAAGATTTCCTCATCTTTGCTTCTCTACAGCAAATCAAATAATCCAAAGTATTCAGATTACGTTACTCACTTTAAGTAATTTAATGGATTACATTTTGGGGTATGTAATCTGTAAGGGAATACATTGTAAATGTAACCTTCCCAACACTGCATATTGTGCAGAAAATGTGCTTTAATTTACTTAAATTTGTCTTCTACATTTGACCTGTCCTTCACTGCTGCTAAAGCAACCTGTCAGGATCAGGGACCCACCTCAGTCTTTTGAGAGACAGGACTATCTTATCTGGAGGATTTTACCTCCTGTGTATGTTTTAGGATGCAAATACATGACATACACGATACAAATCATGGCTTTTCCTGAAGAGAATCCATGAACATTTAGATAAAGCTGCAGATGATCTCGCTCAAATGGCAGTAGCTATGTGAGTATAAGGATCTTAAACACAGATGATCTGGTCTTGGTACCTCTTTGCTGTGCTGTTCCCTCTCCAGCTCCAGCTCTTGCTCCAGACAGGCCACAGTGTCCTGGAGCCTGGCCTCAGTGTGCAGCCACAGCGCCTCCTTCAGGGCAAACTCCTCCTCTACACGAGACAGCTCCTCCTCCTCTCAACACAACAGTCATGTGAGCAGTGATAGAGAAGACCATGTAAAATGAAGAAACTTGTGTGTGTGAGACCTTCTCCTTGTTGTGTTGTCTGCTGGTCTCCAGTTCTGAGCTCAGAGTTTCACAGCGCTGCAGAGTCTCTTTAGATTCAACAAGAGCAGCCTCCAGTTTGTGCTGACAGACCCTCAGCTCTCCACTCTCCTAACACACATGTAATCGGATATTTTGTTTTAGGATATTTTGTTTGATTTTTCTTAAGGACATTTGTAGAGGTCAATAGCAGTGATGCAGCTTTCACAATTAAATTTCTTTTTTACAACACAAATTTTAAAATCAACAAGATCTCCAACTTATATACTTTTAAGATGCTAAAGACTGGTGTTGATTCCTGACCTGTTTGTCCCTGTCAGCCAGTTGTCTCTGAGCCTCTTTAAGCTGCTGCTCTGAGGTCTCCAGACTCTGCTGTAGAGACTCCACCTTCCTCTGCATCTCCAGTTTGTGCTCACGGATCGCCACGTCCAACTGCCCCAACTGTTACAACACGACAAAACACAACAAAATTTAAAACCAGGTCACCACCAAGTCAGTTCAGGTGCAAATGTTATGGAATTTGTAAAAATATTCTGACAATATAAAATAAAATAATAAATAAGCCACCATATAAGATTATTATATTCACAGACTTATAAATCATAATTCTAACTTGTTATTTTTAGTAAATATATTGTTTTCAAAAATGAAGTTAAGTTAATTGAATAATAAAATATCCAGGTAATTCATAGAGTACATTTTCCTCCTGAAAAGTGTGATAAAAGTACATGTTTATACAGCGTTCAGACTAGCCTGGTTAAACTGCTGCGGACTACGCTGATCTATATTTCCACAGTGAGTCAGATTCAGTAAGCCTGGTTTATTAAACCCAAATAATCAAAAAATGAACAAAATGAGTCAGACTTGTCCATTTGAGCCTATTTTACAAACTAGGTTATTTTAATGAAGCAGGTCCTGGGTCCCAGGTCTCAGGTTTATCCTGGTACAGGGCAACATGAACGCTTCAGTGTTCCATCTTTCAACTTCTACCTTTTATATCTTGTCTTAGTTTCTTTATCCAAAATACAGAAAAATCACATGAATCATCATGTCAAAGATAAGTTCTAAGTTAAAATAGGTTTTTGTACTATACCAGCTGGGCTCTTTGCTGCAGTTCCCCCTGTCTTTCCTTCAAAGCATTGTCCATGTCCAGAACCTCATGTGTTCTATCCTCCAGCTCCCTCCGGCACTCACTGTAACACACACACACACACACAGACATACAAACACACACACACAGGGTTAGTCTGTGTGCCTCTATCTTTAAATTAGTTTTGTTTCACTATCTAAATCAATGTATTAGTTTGAATGAGTGAGATGTCAAGATGTAACATTATATTAGCATAATAATGTCTTAAGTTTTATTCAGCACTTTAGAAATGTGAGTGGTACAACTTTGATCTCAGAGGAAAAACAAGTGAAGTCTTGTTGTATTTCATTAGTGGTTCCACCAGAGGGCTGAGGGCTGTGGGTGTGTGCACTGTGGTTTGACTGTGAATAGTAAACTCCAGTGAGAATACATGTGTTTACTCCAAAAGGCTCATGTAGGCAGCGGTGACCTGGTGCTTCATGTACACTGGCATTAGCAAAGAGTATTATCACTGGGTCTGCTCCAGGCAATATGTGTAATGTAATAAATAAAATGCAATCATTTGTTCTGGTGAATTAGTCTGATTTGATACATGATATATTGGACTTGTTTAGGGGCTGTGTATGTACAGTGTAAAATTATAACAACATTACACTGAAAATAAAATGGACCAAATATTTGAGTAAACACTTTAAATAGGGTTGCTTTGGGGGAGCAGGTCACACAGGTTACAGAGGTGGTTAAAGAGGTTAATGCCAGCAAAGGACTCTGCAATGTGTTTTGATCATGGAATGCAATGCTATTTGCACAATGAAACAGGAATATTCTGAGTAGAAGCTTTAGTGTGTGAAATAAAACAATTTGAAAAAAGGCAACATTAGAAAAATCTTTCTGTTACAACAGATACTTTAAAACGTGACATAGTCACATACAGTTCCTGGACCTCCATGAGGAAATCCTATTTTCCACACGTTTATGTAACAGAGCAGCTCCAGTCCGATGCAGTGTGAGCCTCTGTCCTGTAGGGGGCTCCTCACCTCAGCTCCAGGCTCAGTCTGTCCACAGAGGCCTGCCTCTCGTCTGCGATGCCCTGAGTCTTCTGGAGCAGGTCTCTGAGCTGCTGGAGCTTTTCCACTGTGTCCTTCAGCTCTGCTCTCACCACCTCCAGCTGCTGCTCCAGAGCATGGGCCCTCTGTCTGCACAGCAGCTGGTCAGCCTCACAGCGGTGCAGAGTCTCTTCCAAGTCTGCCACTAGAGGGAGAGGGAGATTACTTTAGTTAGTTCACTTTTATCTAACATTTTGTAGGAAATACAATAATAGTACTATTAAGGAAATTTGTATTATGAAAAAATGCGAACAGTAATGAGTAAGTTGAGAAAATGTACAAAACGTACAAACATAAAAGTGTCACAGTCTTGGAAAATCAGCAGACCTTAAGAACCTATTTCTGCTAGTCCAACGATTGTCTTAGAGTTTTAAAAGTACCGGTAGTAAAATCACATTTTAGAAAAACAGGATTAAAAAGAGCACCAAGTTAATGTGTTTGCTATTATTTTGCAGACTATAGCTTCCAGTATTTAGCAAATAGTTAAAATCCCATTCTTTACCCATGTCAGTCTTGGTGTCCAGCAGAGCCTTGGTCCTTTGCAAACTCTCCTCCAGGTGACTGATCTGAGACGCCTTCAGAGCCACGTCCTTCTTCAGATGCTTCAGCTCAGACTCCTTCGACACCAGCTCCACTTTGTACTTGGTCATCTCCGTCGACAGATGGCTAAAACAGAACAAGCAAATCAAACAATCAAACAATTTACCAATGTCAAATTATCATACTTCTAAATTAAAATACCATCACATAAAATTACCTTAGAGTAAGTGTAGCCCCCATTGTAAAGGCTAGATTACAACAAACTGAGGAAATGGCTTCAATAAATTCAGCAAACATACCAAAAAAACTAAACAAAAACAAAAATAACAAACCTACATGTTGAACTAGTGAAGTTAGGACTGGTTGCACAAACTAAGACAAGCTCCTGATATTACAACTTATATTTGTATCTCTAAAGGGGATGTGGTTAGGATTGGGAAAGGGGGAGGGCTCCTGATCTGTGCTCTGAGGAAAAACTGGGATGCTGTAATCACAAGACTGACTGATATAACACTGAAGTGTTATATCAGAAGAGGGCCAAACACACAGTTGCTAAGAATAGAATCCACAGATAACGGCACTGACATGAGCAGGGTCAGGATAGAGCTTCTCATTGATCTTTGTCAATATAAAACAGTGGCTTAAACAATTAAGAGACTGCAGAAACATCTTGTATCAATTTAAAAGAGGGGATATGATGCCGAGTAAACTTTTTAGAGCTTTGTACCATGTTATGTTTCCTCATCAAAAACATGTCTTTGTCATATAAAAACGTGTGTTTTCATGTCAGTCATGCATGTTTGGGTAATCCAGCGATCTCTTCCAGGCTCTATTCCAACCCTCCCACACTAACTGTATGATCCCGTCAAAAGCACAGCCCACAAGCCTACATCCTGCGCAGCAATTTTCCCTACATTTTTCAGTTATACAAAAAAATACACTAGAACTTCACAAACTTTATGCGATGTGCACTAATTACCTTAGTGAAGTAAATATGAAGTATATACTACTGTCTATTGAAAGAATTACAGAAATGTGTGCATAAGATAAGTGTGATTAATGATTTTTTACAATAAAGGATGTAACCAACACAAGAATCAGTCATCTCATCATACCAGGTGCCACAGTGGGCTACAGTGCATACTGTCATTGTGTCCTTAGGCAGGACACTTCACCCAGAGGTTGGTAGCCTTGGTTCCGTCATATTGCTTGTTGCTGGATATTGAGACGACGTTACATAGGGTCATAGGTGAATGGTCTGACCTGAGAGAGCCGGTGAGCTGTGTGTTCTCCTGCTGTAGATCCTCCAGGCTCTTGTCTCTCTGCAGAACCTCCCTCTCTCGACTCAGAGCTGTCTCCTGAAGAGAAGCCCGGGTCCGCTCCAACTGTTGCTCCAGATCTGACAACTACACAACAGGGGACATTTCATGAGTAACTTAAACTGAACAGGGACTAAACCAAGTCTACACCAGCATTTGGATTTTACTGGAAACAAACTTGAACAAGTGTGAACGCATCCTTAAAGGCAAACTATGTAACATTCTTGGTCTGCCACTTGCTTGTTTCCATGGAGATGTCATCGCTGTGCCTGGAATATTACCCAGTATGGCATTAAACCCACCTTGCATTTATTAAAAATGCCTGAGACATTTAATGCCATACTGTGGAAATTGTCACAGGGGGTTGAAAAACATTTTTTCATTTATGCAGAATCAATAAGCAAAGCACTAAACTCTGTTAATCTGACATGTGTCACATTCATTTTGTGTGTAAATGATAGGTGACCAATGAGCTGCTTCGTTTCACAAGCATCACTGGACAAATGGATCTGATTGGTGGGACTCGAGGCATAATGGAGGGTGAGCCTGATCTCCATCTGTATAAGAAATACAGAGATCTCATTCTGGATTGGCTAGGCAATTAAAACACACAAAGATAAGAGTTTTTCATGCTTCACAGCAATAGTAAATTCAAGTCAATTGAACTGTCCAGTATCCACAGTAAAATAAGCAACAATCTTGATAAAGTTTGACCTACAACTCCTCGAGCTCATATCTCCTGCTGCTCTGGCCTGATGTGGTGACATGTCCTTCTGTATCAAAGAGGAACATTGTGGATGAGTATCTGCTGTGTCACTTTAAATCACAAAGTCATTCCAACAAGTCCTCCAGCTCCTCAGAACCCAACTACATGTGACGTGAACATCTACAATCTCTGACTGTGAACGATAAAATGCTGAACCTCAGATCTGAAAGACTGCATTATAAGTTTGTTATATGAATTAGTGTTTAGTCGATTAACAGGGTGATGAGTTAAGTTAAGATAAGTTTCCTTTGTAACACTCTAGGCAAAGTCATAACATCTCCATGGAAACAAGTAGGCTTCCAGAAAAGCTACATAGTGCACCGTTAAATAGTAGAGTTAAAAATGAAAAAGCAACCCTGGAGACCTTACTACAGACACAGGCTACTTTCCATTATGAAACACATTTTAACCACACACCACTCCAAAACAGAAAGTTCAAATCTTATGTAACAGCCATCTACAAAGCAAATCCACAGATGTAACATTTATATTATCTACAATACAGAACTATGCGTTTGAAGATCTTAGGGTCATGTGTACGGTTAGTGAATACAGGGACAGTACACAGAAAAATGACAGGAACCAAATAAAAAAAAGAACTGCGCATAGTTAAAGGCATTTAGGTGTCCATAATATCAAAGGTGAAGGGTTATTTAAGAGTTAAAGTGTTGTCTCCAGGAATTCCCTCCTAGAAAAGTTAATTCTGACTAAACAAGAGGCTTTATAAACTGTTTGTGGAAACTTTTGTAGTTCAAAGACATTGCCTGGGAGTATCTCACATGGTCCAAAATGGAAAGTTTGGAAAAAAACAACACTACAGTCAACACACCTACACAGATATTACACAGTTCATCCATGTATTTTCACAATACTGGTTTAAAATATAGTTTGAAAAAACTTAAGATGATATGGTTCTATACCTGTTCAACATCTGTATCTCTAGTACAAACTGAGACATTATTATTTGAATAAAAGACATATAGCAAGTTGTATTTTAGTCTGATTGAATGACTCTCCTCCACAGCAGTACTGCCCATACTAGTGTTGTCATGATTCTAAAATTTGAAACCTGATTTCAAAGAATAGACTCAATCCTCAATATTGATTCCGATATCACATTGATAAAAACACACTTTCTTTAGACAACAGAATGTGATTTTCAACATTAAATTGTAGGATGTTCTTTTATATTATCATGTGGTCTTATATTTGTAATCCCCCAGTTGTCTAGGCAGGTTCCATAGTGTTGTATGGGTGTATACTTGTCTATGTGCTCTTATAATTGCTCTGATACAGCTCAAGATCATTCTAAAGCTATTCAGGAGGTTCATTCCTGAATGTGAATGTGGCTTTTTAGTATCGATACCTGTTCAAACGAGTATAAACGACTAGGTTCGATACTAGTTTTAGTATCAATTCGTGTCTAATTTTTTATACTTTTGACGACCCAACTTCTAACAGAGGCTTTACCTGTTTCTGCAGTTGGCTCTGGCAGTCCTCCAGCTCAGAGATCCTGGTGGTGCCTTCACTGAGCATGGCCTGGGTTTGTTCCAGAGACTGCTGCAGTTGTGTGTTGTGTTCACTGGTCGTCTGATAAACTAGCATTGTACTGTGGAGCTTTTCCTGCAGAGAGTACACCTGGACAGAGACAAGATGAGGGCCAATGCTTCAATGTTTCAATATAATGAACAACAACTGCTATACCTGAATAGTGTAATTTTGTGAAAATAAGTATTTACTAGAATTTTTCTTTTAAGAATTAGGACTAACTAGGACTAAACCATGTCTAAAACAGAATTAAACCAGGAGCAAACAAGTATTAACCACAGACCATAGACCACAGACTTGACCCATAGCATCCATCTCCATTCAAATGAAGCTTGCAATGTGAACGGTTACAGAGGCGAATTTGGAGCCAGGCTCTATATAGGATTTTTTTAAGGACTAAATTTTAATTATTAATACATTTTAACATTTGGAAGGTGGGCTGTGGCCTGGATTAGATTGTAGGTTTATATTGTTCAATGTTACTAGTGTTTACGACTATATACCATACGTTTGGTGTTACTTTATTCTCTCCATTGGCTTTGTCGTCAGTCTTACACCAACACATAATACAATAACACCTAAGGGCTCGCTGTCCAAACCACTAAACCATCATGAAATATATTAACGATCACATAAAGATCTGACATCAGAGCAGATTCTGAAAATGGCTGTGGTTGTAAAACAGTCAAGTTCCACATGTTATTATGAAGTCAAACTGCTTAGGGAAATGTGCATAAATTATTTCATTATGACATGCTAGTAATAAAGGACTACTCAAACATGTCAATGAAACAAAACATAGCTCCAGGTCTGTTTTTGAGGAGGTAACAACATCATAAGATGGTTTAAAACTGACAAGAGTCAATTTTGTGTATTTTAAGACCTTTAAGACAATTGTGTATAAAGCAAACCATAAGAGAAGCCTTGAAATTAATGTTTTGCATCGATATAATGTGTGTGTATCAGTGATATCATTTTTAGCTAATTCAATAGCTCTTTTAGGGTTGATTCAATGCTCTCTGATGTAATGTTTGTTATGTATTTAATGATCCTCATATGATCCATGTGAGAATACAGCATAGAGACTGGCCTCTGTGACTGATGCTGTAATGGGCGTTATATACATTAAATACAGCACGTAAAATTATTTATGGTAGTATGAGGTTCTTTCGCATCACTCTTTAACACAATGTTCAGCAGCAGGAATTAGATTTTAAAGAAAAAATTAACTGAATAATATTTGAATAGAAATGTATGTTTTCTGGATCCCAGGCAAAAGAAGCCCACATGTATGTATGTTTGACCCAGAGTCAGTATTTTTAGGATCAGGAGTAAGTACTGAAATGTGAGCAGGGTTAGGAAGTAAGTGAAAACATGAATTTTGAGAACTCAAACCTAAAATGCTGCACAAAATACAGTAGTATAAGACAGGATTACTCAAACATGGATCAATTAAATGAAATATAACTGAGAAAACTGCGTTCCCACATCATGGGTTATTACATGGCTAAAAGTCGATTTTACCTAATACGGCCCCTTTAATTACTAAAAAGATCTTGACATCCTCACATAAGCACAGAGTTTAGCAGGTAAGGTCATGGGTGAGTACCTTATCATTGCTCCTGCTCAGTTCAGCCTCGTATCTCTTCTGAGTCTCCTCCATTTGCTGCACATACACTTGGAGCTGATGTTCACAGCTGGACAGAGACGACTGGAGTGCCAACATCTGCCGACACAGACACACATCATATAAGACCATCCTTGTGTTAACAGGGACAGAATAAACATGTACTGACTACTGTATGTGCAGACCTTTGAGTTGGACTGAGTAGATTCCTCCTTTAATCTCTGTTCCATTTCCTCATGGTGCTTTTCTTCTAGCTCCTTCTCCTGTAGAAAAAGCTAATTAATCAAACATGTACTACACTAATCAAAGTTTTGGACACACTTTATTTCATTTAATGGTCTATTTACATTTGTAGATTCTCACTGAAGGCAAAAATTATGAAAGAAAAATTATTAAATGACTAAAACGTGATAAATATATAAGATTAAAAAGCTTTGCTCTTGACATTTCACTGAGGGGTCACAATTTCACCTGTGTGAGTTTGTCCACGGTGCTCTGTAGAAGCAGGGCCATGTTCTGAGCCTCATCTCGCTCCATCTGAACAGAACCAAACAGCTCCTCCATCTCCAGCAGACGCAGCTGGGCATCTTTCACTGACGCCTCCAGCTGAACAGCAAGGACAGGAAAACATTACGTTTGTGTCTGCTATATAGATATAACACAACACCAGTGGATAATTAGTAGTTATAATCTGGACATTTTAAAAACACAATATTCTTCCAAAATGACTTCATAAAGGAAACAAGGCTGTTGACTTCTGCTTTAGAAAACTGTGGTGACCAGTGGGAGCTGACGTTGCGGTACACATCATCACAACAAAGAGATGTGTAGCTGTCGGCCCCTCCGATGGATAGCCACACATCACACTAGCGAGAAGCTGATTTTTTTCCCCATTTGTATCAAAATGTACAAGCAACGCTGCTGAATCCTACACGTATCACAAATTCAGGAAATAAAATTGGAGAACAAAGGAAGCACTAGGGTTGTAACAATATCCAAGTGTCACAATACGATATCGTCACAGTATGAACCTCATGGTAGAATATTTATTGCAACATATGATATGTTGGGGAGGCTCACGATTAAGGATGTAACAATATCCAAATCTCTTGGTACGATATTTTCACGATATACATCTCATGGTACGATATTTATTGCAATATTTTGTAAGTTTTTTGAGTTAATATGCCACATTTTCCTCTTAAAATGCCTTGACAAGACTTAATCCAAAGAACTAAGACTTAAAAGTGTTAAAATTGTTATTTCTTCTTGTAGTCTACACTGAAATGGAGCAAAGGATTATGGTCAATGTAGTTCTCTCTCTTTTTTTAGCTATTGCTGCACCATAACTCTTAATTTAAGCAAAGAGACTTGTGATTCGATATATTGTGATGGTCCATGATATTATTGTGAGAACTTTGACGATACAATATCATGATATTTTGGTTACTGTTACATCCCTAGTAAGCACAGAGCAGTGGGCGTACTGGTGGCAGTGAAATGACACTTTGAATACAGTTTGAGAATAAAGATTACTAAAACATGCATGAATCACGCTAAATACAACTTTGAGTGGGTTAATTTTACATGTCTCCTTTAAATTATTCTAGGCATAATTTCAAATCTCATTATAGCTACACTCACCATCTCCATCTTGTGCTGCTGCTCTGTTGAGAGTTGGACTTGTGTCTTCTTATATTTATCAAGCGACTGTTGATATTCTCTCTGCTTTTTGCTCATCAGGGTCTGGTAGTGCTCCACTGTAATGGTCTTCTCCTGTAAGTGAAATGCAAGTTTAAAGACGCACTGTGTAACTTTTCTGGTGAGGGTAGGGCATTGAACTTATCCATCGTCCACTTTTGCAATGACAGGGTTCTATATTGCTAAGAAGTACGCTGAAAAATATGCATTCTTAAAAGTTCGTAGATTACAGAAAATTGATTGTTGTGAGCTTTAAGCCATTTTATAATGTTATGTATATGTAATGTATAATGTCACCTCATTAAAAACACAAAGATACTCAGAGTTGTGTTTTGATTCATTCACACATGTTTGAGTAAGTCTCTATTATTAAGTCTGCCTACATCTCCAAAACTCAAAACGCTCTGTCACACCTAGTGGTAGCTTTCAAGGTAACAGCTACCGTCTACCTTTAGTTCAGAAGAGATGGGCAATTCCAGGGCTGAAATTATCCAAATGATTCTAGTGAAGGTGTGGAGTAAAAACACAGTGGAGCACACTGTATTACCACATGACATCACAAGGTGGAACAGTGTTTTCTGTTTGAAAACTGAACATAGCCTAAATATGCAGGGTTTGTGTGTTAAACATGTGTTATGCATGAAACAAAACACAACTTCAGGTATGTTTTGGATGAAGAAACAGCATTATAATATAGATCAGAAAATAGTGTAGTATGGTCCCTTAAACAAACCCGCATAAATGTAAAGGTTAATTTAAAGTGGCTTAGCTGCTTGTGAAAAAGCAAGGCAAAGCAATAAAATTTCCAAAGACACAGTAAGGAGATGTCTCCAGAAAATGGAGACAGTATTGAAATATGCATTAAAATAATCATATGGTGTGTAATGTGTGTGACCTGTAGGTGCTTCTCGAGCTCAGTGTTCCTCAGAGCGGCCTGGCTGTATGCAGAAATCTTCTCCTGCAGCTGTTTCTCCAAAGCAGATGCTCGAGCACTCTTCCTCTTCAGCTTTGCAGACAGAGAAGAAGAAACACTGCATTATTTGTGTTCTTTAACGATGCACTGTGTACCTTTTCTGGTGGAGGGTCCATCAAAAGCTTTTCTCCATGGAAATGTTATTGTTTTGGCTGGAATGTTTCACAGTATGCATTAACCTTTCTATCTTCATGGAGACCAAACCAGACCAAGTTACAGGTCAGATCTGTGGAGAGGCAACCCGGCTCACAGACAGAATACCTGTTTTTCTATATATTTTTGAGCTATAAAACCATCTGTAATTCAATAAATGTAAGGTAAAGTTGTTTCATGTCATACTGTCCATGGAAACAAGCAGGTGACGGACCCTCCATCAGAAAGTGACTTAGTGCACCTTTAAAACCTACCACGGATGTCACAAAAGAACTGCATTTGGGTAACCTTTTTTGATAGATTGTACTTTTCAGACTACTTTTCTAGCAGCATACTTTTACTCCTACATAATTTTATTGAAGTAACAGTACTCTTAGTATAAATTTTGGTTATACTTCCCACTGTGAGTCTATGAGTGACAAAAGCTTTATTTTTGACAATATGAAATGCATTTATAGTGTCTGCGTACACTGGTGTGTGAATGTGTGTGTGAATGGGTGAGTGGTTCCTTGTTGTAAAGCGCTTTGAGTGCCTTGAAGGTGGAAAAGCACTATAGAAAAATGTGACCATTTTACCATTTACCATTATTGCACAGATCAGATTTAGTTTCTTTCAATTTTGTGTCTATCCTTAGAAAACACCAGATTTTGTGCATTATTTAATGTGTGGTCAAATTACTCTTAGTAAGAGTAGGTCTTAGGTCAAGTTACTATTAAGTAGTACCTTTCCCAAATACTTTTTAAAATCTTACTCAAGTAATTTTTGGACCACTTCTTTGTCCTTGTCACATTACATTAAATTAATATTTCTCAAGTACTATTGCAGGTTTGGCTACTCTACCCACCTCTGTGTACTTCCCAAACCCTGTACCTCTTTCTCAGTGTCTGTGGCCTGGCTGACTTTGTCCATGAGCTCAGAGTGGAGGTTCTGGTAGTGGGAGGCCCTCTGAGCCATGGAGCTCTGCAGAGAAGAGACCTCCTCCTGGGTTCGTTTCAGACGCTCCTGCAGCCTCTCTACTGCCCTCTGCTGTTTGCTCCGGTCTGACTCTACAGCCTGCAGGGTCTTCAGCAGCTGCTGGTACCCCTCACCTGGGACAGAGTTTTGTTTTATTTTTATTCTACAGTATGATGTAACTGAGTGTATAACAAAGTGTATAAAGAAGTGGACTAAGTGAATGTGACGTTGGCTCCAGTCAAATGAAGCTCATGAGGCTAGCAGTTATAGGAGCAAAGTTGGAGCCAGATTCCAGATTAGGAATAGGATATTTTTTAACAGACAAAATACCTAAATAAAAACACCAGGATATATTCAGTCTATGTCTATAACACTCTATAATGAAACAAATACCTGGCTGCAGCTGCATCATTTGTGCAGTTCCTGAATAGTCCAATGGGGGCAGCATACAAGGCCGTGCACATAGAGGCCCTGAACCTCCCTGAAAAGAAAAAAAAAAACAAACAACTTCATAATACTACAATAAACAAAACCCTTATAACTTAAAGATCCAATATTAACTTTTATTTTGTTGGGAACCTCAATAAAGCATAAATAACTAATGCTATGTTGAAATGCATTTTCCAGATTATTGTTAAAAATATATTGTTTTATCTCTGTGAAAAAATACATACATGTTTTTGAGCAGCATATTAATATAGAATATATACCACTCCAAATAACAAAGAGAAAAGGAGCCAAGGCCAGTTGTTTATATCCATTCATTCATTACGCTGCCTTTCTTTAAAGGTGCACGGCATAACTTTTCTGGTAGAGGGTCCACCACTTTCTTTTTTCCTGAAAAGCACTACAGTACGGCATTTAATTTAACTGTCTCCATGGTGACAAGATGCTCACATCACCAGGCTAAGTTACATGTCAGCTCTTGGACTTGCTCACAGTAATAATGCAGGTTTTTGCAAGAGTTTTGTGAAATATAAACATCTGTGTGTGAATAAATACAAGATATATTTGTTTAATGCTATACTGTGGAACATCCTGAGCAAAGCAATAACATCACCATGGAGACAAAGAAATGGTGGACCCTACACCATAAAACAAAGAGTGCACCTTTAAATATCATGTCAAGACTAGTCTAATCATTTGTTTTATATATGTTTTAATGACTATGAACCAAATACAAACAACATATATCATTTTTATCAAACCTAAAAAGCATCTCATTTCACAAATGGGTCTCCATTGTGAAGTGTGTGTTTGGACTCACCTCCTGCAGGTGTAGCAGCCTTAGCACAGCCTCCAGACTGTTCAGCTCTGCTCTGCTCTGCAGCGCCTCCCTCTGGCTCTGTTGG